GCGTCTAATGTTCACCCTTAAAGAAATCAAGAAAAATGTTAAGAGGTTACTGATATTTCACTATGGCATTGGGTTGTCGGAGCTTCTGACAGGAAAAGAAGATTCCCTGTGGCTGGAACACAATGTCCAGCCATGTAAGTTAATTTGCCCAAATGATATTAGGCGGCATTTAAAACCCACATCTTGCCCGACTGTGCTGGCAGAACCCTCAGGGACAAGGCAAGGAGGGGCTTGGTTCGGGTGAAGTTGCGATGAGATCGTGTGGCTCGGAAATGCCACTTAGCTTCTGTTCTATTAGTTCCTTTTCTTTCTTGGCAGAATGCTTCTGGATTTAAGTAAAATGTGTGCTAGTGTTTGGATAATAAATACATTATTTAAAGGCCTGTGGCTACTCGGGCCTGTTGGGTACTAGGGGGAAAGCTCATACTCTGTTGAGTTTTATAGGGCTCATGTTGGTTGAATGTAATGATTTTCTCCCACTCTTTTCTTTTTAGAGTGTGAGTTTCATGGCCTGTGTGTGTGCTCACACACACATGTGTGTGAGTGTGCATGTGCACATTCATGCATGCAGTCACTCATGGGTGAGAGGTCCTGAAAAATCAAGGTTGCCTGTCAGAGGTCTGACCATGCGCATTGGGCATTGCCTCTGGGATACCATCATCAAGGAGCCTGCAGGTCTCCTGATAAATCTGAGGATTACCCCAATGACATTCAGCCGTTAAGAACCCCCAAACTGGACGGTTGAATTCCAGATGGACAGGAATTGGGTTATTCTGCTTATTTTAAACCAGCCACCCAAATGATTTTAAATTCTCTCATTCTAAGTAATCAAATATATGGAGGGGTGGGCAAAAGGAGGTTAATAATAATCATAAATAATATAATAATCAATAAATAACAATACAAGAATAAACTCTTTTGCATACTCACAACTGTAAAACCTTTTTTCTCACCCTTTATATATTGAGAGCCCAGTGTGTTCTAGTGTCCTATTTTACAGGTGAGAAAGCTGAGGTTCAGAGAGGGTAAATTACTTCCCCCAGGCCCCTAGCCAAGTGGTTAGTCTGCTAATTACTCAATCCCAACTTCGAACAGAATCCTTTTGATTCTGTGGTCTATGCTTTCGCTACCATCTGAGTCTATGTCTCAGCCAAGACTTACCCTTCATGTTACAACAAATATTAAATGTCTCTGTCTGGTCTCTTTGATAAGGTCTATGAATCTGGTAGAAACAGGTGGTTGACCTTTTCCCACTCAAGGAGAAGCAGCATTTTACATGGTTTCAACGTTCTTCCCAGTTCCATGGTGTGTCTACCTCCTCTTTCCTTTGTAGACAAGCCTTTGGCTTCAGTTAGTTCCTAAGCCCAAAAGACTGAGCTTGGATTCCCAGGGACACAGGAAGGACATTGAGTTAGAAAGGAAGAGAGAGCACACGCACTAGCTTATCTTCCTGTCTTTTCCAAGCTTTTTTTTTTTTCCTTTTGGCTCATTTTAGAGCCATGTTGTCATACATTGGCACCCCTACCTGAGGGCAGGGATTGGAAATCAAAAGAGATGAAACAAAACCACAGCTGTGATGTTTATTAGGCCTCTCGTTTTAAAAAAATGATGGAGAATGAGGCTGGAACTAAGCTGCTTTCCCTTAGAAAATGCTGGCAGTGATTTTAGTGGCAGATTTTGGCATCTGAATGTATTAGCTAAAGTATTTGAATATAATGAGCTATGCAGTGTGGTGGAGTGTAGAGCGCCCAAGGCTCACTGATACAATCCAGGCGACCTTGGGCAAGCCACTTCATATTTGTGGGCCTTAGTTTCCTTTTCTGTACCGGGTGCACATCAAGCCAGATGATCCTTGAGATTTCCTAGGAAAGCAGCAAGAACAGGGCAGATCACCTGCTCTGACTTCAGCTGACTGGTCTGGATCTGAGCTCTGTCACTCAGTTTATGCCGGCGCTGTGTGACCTAGGGTCAGTCACTTGACTTCTCTGAGGCTCAGTTTCCCCCTGTGTGAAATGGGGATGAGATGTCTACCTCAGAGGGTCCTGAAGAGGTTTATATTGGCTAACGCATGGCCATCTTCTGGAGAAAGCATTTTCCCAGGGCTGGAAGGAAGAACTGGTGAGCGGGATGCTTTGAAGGTCAGAGAGGGATGACTGGTCTATGAAGAAGTCTGGTCTGGGAGTGGAGGGGGCTCTGAGTGACCCTTGCTGAGAGAGGAGAAAAGGAAATCACTGTCGTAGTGGGACAGAAAACCAGATGCCTCGAAGACAACCTTTGTTGCGAACATTGCCTTGGGGGGAAGAAAAAGAAATCTCAGAACATCCTGCCTCCTTGCTATTGCTTTTCATTTCTTAACCCTTTATTTTTAATGAAGATGGAAAGGTTTATAATTTTGACAGTTCCATTTATTTCTACCATTTTCAACTAAAACCATACAATGAACATCAATTATTTCCACACGTGTTGCCACTGCAGCTGGGTAAATGTCGGTATTACTTAAACATGATCTGTATACTCTGTGTTGCCTCTCCTGTTTCTCTTGTCTGTCTATATTTTTCTTCTTCTACTACCAACCGCAAACCATCCCCCTCTACTTCTTCTTATCTCCACTCTCCTCCTCACAGTGGAGAACACCGAATGACACAGTCGAATTGAAGGGGCTAAACCCATGACTAGGAACTACGTGCATGAAGAAACCCAGGAAAGCAAATCCTCTCCAGAAGGGTACATGGAGGAGCCTAATGAACAAGAGAGGACACCTTCTGTTCCCGGGCTCACTGCCCAATGCCTCCAGGTCACAGGGGGAACCCTAGCTGCTCTGGTAGTTAGGGAAGCGGATCAGCCCTTATCAGGGCCCAGCAGAGGACAGAGGATCTTGCACCTGAGCAAAGGGAATGATATGACTCCCAAGCTTCAATTCTCCCCAGGGTTCCTCCTCAGGTGTTACTCACTCAGTGTAGCTGCGGCACTGTGGACACGCCACATCCCCAAGAAGGCATTAGGAACTTCCTTTGTGTAATCATGGTCAAATATTTATACTTGTTTAGGATTTGCTTCTGTAGGTAAAAATATAGTTAACGCATAATATTTGTTTTGGACTTCCAGTCAAGATAGAGGTGTAAGTAAACATGCGTTGCCTCCTTGCACAACTACTGAAAAAATTACAACCAGAGCTCAAAACAAATAACACCCAGAACCGTCAGAAAATCGAGCTGTATGGAAGACCAACAACCAAGGATTTAAAGAAGCCACATTCATCCATACAGGTGCCTTTTCTACAATAGGCCATGCTACTAAGACAGGGAGTCAAAGCTCTACTTAATACACAGAAACAAACACAGGGAGGCTGCCCAATAGAGAAGACAAATAAATATGGCCCAGAGAAAATAACAGAACAAAACCTCAGAAAAAGAACTAAACAAGACAGGATAACCAGCCTATCAGATGCAGAGTTCAAAACACTGGTGATCAGGGTGCTCAAAGAACTCATTAAGTACGGCAACAGCATAAGAGACCCAGGCAGAAATGAAGGTTACATTAAGTGAAATAAAGAAAAATCTACAAGGAACCAACAAAGGAGGGGATGATGCCAAGATTCACATCAACAATTTGGAACATAAGGAAGAAATAAGGATTCAATCAGAACAGCAAGAAGAAAGAATTAAAAAAAAATGAGGATAATATAAGGAGCCTCTAGGATATCTCCAAATGTACCAACATCTGAATCATATGCCAGAAGGGGAAGAGAGAGACCAAGAAATTGGAAATCTATTAGAAAAAATAATGAAAGAAAACTTACCTAATGTGGTGAATGAAATATACATGCAAGTCCAGGAAGCACAGAAGGTCCCAAACAAGATGGATGCAAAGAGGCCCATTCCAAGACACATCATAATTAAAATGCCAAAGGTTAAAGGCAAAGAATCTTGAAAGCAGCAAGAGAAAGGCAGAGAGTTACCTACAAAGGATTCCCATAAGACTGTCAGCTGATTTCTCAAAACTTTGCAGGTCAGAGGGACTGGCAAGAACTATTTAAAGAGATGAAAAGCAAGGACCTACAACCTAGATTACTCTATCCAGCTAAGTTATCAGTAAAGCTAAAGGAGTTCATCATCACCACATCACTATTACATGAAATGTTAAAGGGACTTATGTACGAAAAAGAAGAAAATCAAAACTAGGAGCGTTAAAATGGAAAAAATTTCACAACTATCAACAACTGAATCTAAAAAACAAACTAAGCAAACAACTACAACAGGCACACAATCACAGAGATGGAGATCACATGGAGGGTTATCAGCAGGGAGGGGGAAGGGAGAGAATGGTGGAAAAGGTGCAAAGATTAAGTAGCATAATTGGTAGGAACAAAATACAAGGTCTGGCATAAATAACACCCCTTTTTTATTACAAAAGCATAAGCATGTAATTCTGTAACATCACAATATCACAATCAAGCACACCATATGACATTTTAGGTGAAATGTTCAAATTAAAACTATAAATTATTACACCCATACTATTACCCTACCAACCACACTCCAGCAGGTCTTCCTTCTGCTGGACCCTGTAGACAGGGGGAGGTTAAGAATAGTATAGGAAATGGAGAAGCCAAAGAACTTACATGTATGACCCATGGACATGAACTAAGGGAGGGGGATTGCTGGAGGGAATGGGGCTACCGGGCCGAGGGGGATAAAGGGGAAAACTTGGGACAACTGTAATAGCATAATCAATAAAATATTTTTTAAAAATTAAATAAAAATATTATATTAGTTTCAAGTATACAACATAGATCCTGTATTTATATACCTTATGATGTGATCACCATGCCAAGCCTAGTAACCATCTGTCACTGTACAAAGTTGCTATGGTACTATTGACTATACCCCTTGTGCTGTATATTATATCCCCATGACTTACTTGTTTCATAAGTTTGTGTCTCTCATCCCCCTTCACCGTTTTCACCCGTACCCCATGACGCTCCCCTCTGGCAACCATCAAAAAATATGGAACACTTCATGAATTACTGTGTCATCCTTGCATAGGGACCATGCTAATCTCTCTTTTTGTCCCAATTTTAGAATCTGTGCTGTGAAAGCAAGCACTCTATAGGATTTTTTTGGTAATTCAAATTTGTTTCCAAAATAAATCTGGATTTCCTTTATAAGTACAATAGAAAACAGAACAACAGGGAAAGAAAGTAGAACTTAAATTACTGAAAAGGGGTAGAGGCATTAGATGTTCCCAGACATCTGAGATAAGATCATTGGAACAGTTAAGAAGGGTGTAAGCTAAGGCAAGAAGGAACACCTGGGGTGACACAGGTCACATCGTCTGACAAAATAAAGTCTGTGCCTGTTTTTTGTGCTGAGTCACTGTTTCTGGAATAAACTCAAGGAGAAATGTATTACCTTGGTTCTTGTATAGTTGCATGCTGGATAACCCGTTGAACAAGGTCTTCAAATAGAATCTTGCAAAAAGACAAAGAATGTGAGGTGAGTACTGCTCCTTTCTGAAAGGATCTCAGAATTCAGATTACAGAGACAGACCCAGTATTTGGTGACTACCTTTTAGATTGGCCTTAACACCACCTTTTACAAATAACCATTTGAAAAATATTATGGGGGAAGGATTGAGGCTGGGATGTAGGGATGGGTGGGGTGGAGGAAAGCGGTGATGGGGTAAAAGGAGACAACTGTACTTGAACAATAAAAAGAAAAGAAAAAGAAAGAAAAGAAAAATATTTTTTCTTATATCACAAGTAATACATGCTTATTGTAGAAGATCTGTAAAATACAGATTTTTAAAGAGAAATCTACAACTTTATCACTCATTTAAACCTATTAACATTTTTGTGTTATTGTCTCACTTTTTTGTTTGTGAATAGACATGCCTATGTATTTTAAAAAGATAAAAATTTACTATGCATAATGTTCTGTTAAATATTTTTTTCATTTAATAAGACCCATGGACATTTTCCGTTCAATAAATCTCTCTACGATATCACTTCAAATGCTTGCAATATTGTGCTGATATTAGTACTATGGAATACAGCAGGTAGATGTTATTACAATGTATTTAGGCAATCCCCCAGGTGTTAGGTATTTGGGTTTCCAACATTTCACCTTTATATATAATTCTGTGGTGAACATCTTTTGCTAACTCTTCTCAAGGCATCCTTTGTGGCTAGCTGTGCTTTGGGGCCAGGGGGTCTTGTCCATTCAAGGCCAGGGTGCCCCAGAGGTCAATGAAGTATTTGCCCAATGACTAGTGGGCACAATTTGTACTTTGCATACTTTACCTGGCAGGAAGGAGGAAACAGTACCGGGAACCTACGGTCTTGATTTAAAGACCATTTCCTGGGCTGCTTAGTGAAGGCAGTAGAAGTCTTTGTTTCCTTTTGTGTGTCTAGCAGTCTTAGGGCAGGGCAGAAGCAGGTAAGACAAGGTGTGGGATCCCCTCAGAGGCAGACAGAATGGGTTCACCTGGGCCAAGGATTAAAGTCCTAATGGGCTCTGAGGGCTGGGCGCCAACTTCTCCACCTGTGCTGCTCTACCCGAGGGCCTATCTCAAGTCAGGAGCACGTGGCCCAGCATCTTGGATGCTCTTGTTTGTGTGTTGTGGGTTTTCCTTCTCCCTGCTTCTTTGGAAGATGTGAGGATGGTTAGTGATCGAGGCAACAACATGGAAACTCCCTCTGAAGAGCCACACAAATACATGACCTCCCATTCCATCAAGTTCTCCCTCTGCACAATGATTCCTAGTCAACCTCAGAAAGAAGAGAATTCGTGTTTGAACACCTATAAAGAAGGATTTTTTTTTCTGGATAATGTGGTACAGTACGCAACTCAAAGTATCCCCAAGCATGTTTTCTGCGTTCCCACATGTCCGACAACTTCACTCTAAGCCCCCATAGGCAGACTTAAGACTGTGATCACTACAAACCTGAATTTATTGTAACCCTGTTCCCAGCACTGTTCTTTTCCCCTAAGTGGCTTTTTTCCCTACATTATACTTCAATCCCAAAGGACATACTTTTGAGAAAATACTCCATTAAAGTCATTGTTGGGGCAACTTTTATTATTCATTAGTGTGCTTTACAGTGGACCTAAATAGAAACGTTTTTTTTGCTAAAAGTAAAAATATATTCTATGATCTAATTGTACAATTGGTTAGACTTTCTATCTATCAGTTCAAAGGAAACTTGGTTTCAGTGAATTTGTTTTTAATAAAAATGTGTTATCTATGATAAATATATTTCACTTTGTTCAAATGGATTTGATTGGGAAAACATATTGAGCAGAAGTACTGGTAGAACTTAATTTCATTGCTTTGAGAAAATGTATTGAATGCTGGTTTGAATTAAATTCTATTTGTTTTAATAAAAGTGTATTGGCCTGAGTGTACATATATTTGTTTTAGTGGCAGTGCATTGGATCCAATAAAACTATATTGGCTTCACTGCTTATGTCTCCTTTTCAGTGAAAATGGATTGAATGGGAAAACGAAATAGCCACGAAGCAGCCAGCCCCAAGGTCTCTACTTGGCGAGAGTATCCAAATAACAGAGAGAGTGTTTCCATGGACTTTATATCAAAACATACTTTTAAATTTAAATACTTTACTATCAAGAACTCAGATGTGAGACCAAATTGCTACCATAAAGAGTGCAATTTTCTGAAGCAGCCCTTTTCATGGAAAAATTATGAGAGCTCACCGGGACACCAGAGGAAGAAACGTCAAGAAAGCCAAGAGCAGGTTTGTCAGCATCCCTTAAGCTTTATATGGACCTCAAGGGTTCCGATAAGATGCTGCCTACCAGGCAGCCCTAAGTTCCGTAAATGAGCAGAACACAGATCATGAGGACTCCCTGAGGATGGCGTTGGCCCATCAGTGCTGAAGTAGGTTTGATTCTGAACTGATTAAAAGGGGAGAAGAATTGAAACAAGTGTTACCCTGAGACACACATCAGAATTACTAGATGTCTCATGGATTATAGACCCTCAGAGAGGAATCAGTTCTTCAGAGGGAGCTGACAGTGATCCTGCTGTCTAGGAAATCACACCTACACAAAGTGCCATGACCACACTGTGTAAATGCACGTGGCTCCCAGGTGCCAAGGCCTGCAGGTACTCTTTTTTATAGGTGCCCTGACCCAAAACATGGAGTTCACATAATGAGGATTAATAATAATATTGGCTGTTACTCTTACATGACTGTCTGACTACTAAGACAGTATGTGCTCTGAATTGTTTTTCCCCTACAAGACAAACTTGACCCTCTTCTACCTAGTTTTGTTTACCCTTGATGAGAAATAAACACAAATACTACTTTCATTAACACCTTTGCTCCAAATAAATGTGCTAACAAGCTCTAGACTTCCACTTTCCCACTAGTAACTGCCCGTTCTTGACTAGTGTGCCATTACCAAGAAACCCTAAACCTTTGGCGTATAGTTGCTCATTTTTTGAACACCTGAATTCTCACAAGACTTACAAGGTTACGAGAGAAAAAGTGATGCATGGATTTTTTTCTTCTGTGGAAATCCTCCCAGTTCTATACTCGAAGTCAAAAATAAGATGGGATTTGTGGTAGAGAACTCCGCTGTGCTATTGTCCTCAGAGAGGTGATGTCGCAGCCCCGGGGAGAGCAAGTGTCAGAGTGCAGTATTGATCCACCACATAGTGGATGTGTGACGTGAGACTGAATGGACCGATTTCAGTGGAGCTTAATCCACTTTCCTGATAATGGAATTTTCAAAATGTAATCCTAGGATATTTCCAGTGTCAAACAACATGAATGCAGAGGCTTGTATCACATTGGAAAGGAGCATGGCAGGATCTGAAGGGTGGCTGTGCATAGAGACCAAAACTGGAAAACCTCACGTGTAGATTTGCAGGGTGTCCCTGACCACAGGCTTGAAAAAAAAGCCCATCTACTGGGAAGACCATTCAGAACACACATTCTCTCTGGAGAGACCAATGAGAAAAAGGCACTTGCTGACATGACCTGGGAGATGATTCCAGGAGACCTCAGAAAGTGAGACAAAGAAAGGAGGCAGCTAACAAAGGGATTGTTATTGAGCAAGCCATGCTGTGGTCAACTGGAAGATTGATCTTGCTGTAGAGGTTTGGGAGTCGATATAGAATCTATGCTTTAGAGCTCTTCCACTCCAGGGACCAGGAGGTTGAGGTATTTATATACCAGTACCAACTAATGCACCAGCCCCTGTCTTCACTGGTTGAGAGCATCTCCCCAGTAGCATTAATTCTCTGATGCATCTGTATAGCCAGGTGAGCAGGCACTGCTGGTGCTGACCATGAGAAAAAGTTTTATGTCAAAGAATGCAGTTGGAAGAGGTAAGGTTCAAGGTAAGGACAGAACATTGACACGCTCTGCTTTCCCCGTGAAGCCTATTTTACAGATGAGTAGACTGAAATATGGAGGGAAGTAGTTTTCCCCATGCCACGCAGCTAATAGGCAGCAAGGGCAAAATGCAAATCCAGCCTGATTCACTTGAACGGCAATGACAATCACTTGGCCACACTGCCCTGCCACACTGCCCAGCTGAAGAAGTTGGGGTGCCTCCCAGATTTAAAAACCATGTCTCGATGGGGTTTCTGCTGCTCCAGAGCAGAGTACTGCAAGTGAGAGAGGGGACTGGGAAGGGCTATTTTGCTGAGCTCTGTTTCTAGGAGTGGCCAGAGAGTGATCGATGTCAGGCCGAACTGAAACTAGGTGTCTGTTTATTAGATGCTGAACTCAACTTGTACTAGGGTATATTTGCCTGAATAGTCAATCGCAAATGACTGTATGGTCACGTGCTCTAGGCCATTTTCAGGGGGCCGCGGGCCTCCTGGCTGTCTCCCGGTCCCACCAGCCCCCACGTGGCCCCCATGATGTTCATCCTTTTGTGATCAGCTTTTCCATTTCAGGCACGCTCGCTAGCTGCTACCCGCTTTGTAAAGTAAGTTATGATGACTTTGTATGACAAAATAAAACAGCCATCCTCACAGCTGTTTTGATCCCATTTAATGAAATAGTGTTGACATCTGAATGCCACAACCGCAGAGAGGCGGATGCGTTGTGGTGGTTGCTGTGAGAGC